TACTGCACAGTACAGCTCAAATCACATCATCAAGTTTGCAGATGACACAACAGCGGTGGGTCTCATCACTAACAATGATGAGTGTGAATACAGAGAGGAGGTACAACACCTGGTGGACTGGTGCCAGAGCAACAACCTGTCTGTTCAGGAGACTAAAGAGATGGTTGTTAACTTCAGGAAGACACCCCACTGCACATCAATGGATCTGCTGTTGAGTTGGTCAACAACGGGAAGTTCCTGGGTGTGCACATATCAGATGACCTTTCCTGGAACCTGAACACCACCACCATCACTGAAGAAAGCCCAACAACGTCTTCACTTTCTTGGAGGCTGAACAAGGCCAGTCTCCCTCCTCACATCCTCACATCTTTTTACCGGGGAACCATTAAGAGCGTTCTCATTCCTCACTATCCGGTACGGGAACTGCACTTTCACTGAAAAGAAGTCTCTGCATCGGATAGTGAGAACAGCAGAGAGAATCGTTGGAGGCCCTCACCCACCCATCTCCCAGCTCTATGACAAACACATCATCCGATGTGCAATCAGCGTAGTGAATGACACTTCCCACCCCTCACACGCACTGTCCTCCCTTCTTCCATCTGGCAGACGGTTTCACAGCATCAAAACCATGACGGCCAGACGCTGCAAGAGCTTCTTCCCCCAAGCAGTCAACTACCACCAAAGGGCCGATAAACATAAACACTTTTACCAACAAACACTTTGACAAACATAAAGATCTCTACAAACATTTTTACAGTACTCACCAGAAGACTCAATAATAACAACACAAACTTTCACATCTATATTATGCTACACTTGCACATTTTACATCTTTCACATGTCTTCGTCTTGTCTTGTCCACAATATCCTGACCATAACTTGAACCTGCTATTCAATACCAACATCTCACTTTACTGTAATTGCACATGATCACTTTTGTCCTTGTTTATTATACATAGATATAGTTAGTATTATTACTTTTTCATCTTTTTAATTTGACTTAAATATAGTGAGTTATTATTTTTTGTCATTTCTAGTTTTATATCCCCTGTAGATATATTTTGATACCCTTATAAATGCACCATGGGGGGCTTGGGGTGAAATGGCCTTTCGATAGATACACTCTATACTATATATATTGTTGTATTGACAATAAAGCCTTGGCTGCACCAGAGTTGTGGAATAACCTTCCGATTGTGATCCGGGCGTCTGATTCCATCCAATCTTTTAAATCACAGTTAAAAACCTATTTGTTTAATCTTGCCTTTCCTGCTTGTTAATGCTCGCACCTGACTTTTAGACATATTCTATTTTTTCTTATACATATTTTATGGCTTGTTTTTATTTTGATATGCATTTTATATTACCCCTGTGTATTAGTGGCATTGACCTGTGAGGATATTTGATACTTTGCTAAGGCCTTACAATACTCGTGTTACTTCTCTGTCTCTTATGTTAAGCACTTTGGTATACCGCTGGTTTTTAAATGTGCTCTATAAATAAAGATTGTTGTTGTTGTTGTTGTGTTGAATCTTGAATCTTTTCCCGCCGTCTATTCTGGAATGAGCATTGTCACAGTTTTAAGTCCTGTGTGATGATGAAGCATAAAACAAACTAAGTGTGGAAAGATTATTAATAGTATTAGTCTGATAATGTGATTTATTTAGCTTAAAAGATAGAATAAGTTTGACATTAACAACATGCAGGACAAATGTACTTATTTATGAGCAATTTTCCAAACTTCTTATAAACATAAATGGGAAAAAATTGTATTTGATAGCATTTAATATTACAATAATGGATTACACAGAACTGGACAATAATGTCATTACACTAGATGTTTTTCTGAAAGTGCTGTAACTACGTTTAAGGAAGTACGTCCTTCACTGTTATCTTCTTTAGTGCCATGTGGCAGGACAAAGCAGAGCAGCTACCTTAACCCTACTCCCACAGAATGCAATACAATGCAAAACACCTTGAGGTGACTGTTGTTGTGAATTAAATTCAGTAACAACTGAATCTCATTTTTAGCTTATTCAGTAGTCCATCTAGTTTTTTTCCTCTAAATCTGCTGCTTGGTGCTGGTGGAAATGGTACTCCCGAGAGCTGGAAAGTGAACCAAAACTATAAATCTTCATAAAACAAACAAAAAAAAACATTGTTTTATTCATGCTCTGTAGGGGTGAAGAGAAAGGCAAGAGAACGGCAGATGTGGACATTGTACTCTTTTCATCCCATTGAAAAACTACAGCTTGAAGTCCTAAAAAAGACTTTAAAAGATAAAGGAAAACAGAATGTTTAACAGTTTCACTGATTTTCGGAAAACTTATTTTTTTTACCAAGTCGATTTTGAAACATATTCCATAAAATATAAATGGAGCAACTGCTACAATTGAGCTTTTTACACATAAAATATAATAAATGGGTTGAAAGGAAAGAAGGAACTTATGGATGCTACTAACCACTCTCCCGTCCTCCTGTCTTCATGCTGATTGAGTCTCCTCAGCACTCTCTCCTCTCTCTTCTCCTCCCTGCGCCTCCTCTGCCTCCTGCAGGCCAGTGCTCTGTAAAACTCCCTCTGTTTCAGCTCCTTCAGTCGCTGCAGGACAAGCGGAGTGATTAACAGAAGCAGATGCAGTCGTATCAGGGCTGCATTAAAAAGGAGATGTAAGAGGTCAAATGGATAATACATTAAAAAGATGAATTTAAATGTTTAATTTGTGAGGTAAGTGGGTGGAGTTATCAGTCTTGTGTATCTGCTCTGTCTGTAAGTGTGTGTGTGTGCATTGTTTGTGCATGTGTGTCTATTTGCATCGTCTAAGTCAGCCAGTGTCTGCTTTAGTAGAGTCCAGACCAGCTTAATTCACTTATTGAGCTCTGTCTGCAAGCTGTCTGCTGACCGGAGATACTGATACAGTGTGCGAGTGTCATTTGTGCCCGTGTGTGTGTGTGTGTGTGTCACAAATAATAATAATGATAATAATATACCTGTGGGTTCACATCTCAAATAGACAGATGACAAGAGACAGACAGCGAGGCGGGCGGAGACACCAGCAAATAGATAAACAGACATAAATAGACAGACAGATAAAACATGGAGGCAGGCAGGCAAACAGACGGAGGGACAAAGAGACAGGCTGGAAGACAGACACTGTGGGGTTTGTTAAAGTTTGTTATGTAGCCTGTGATATTTTCATGGAAGGTGTACATACAGTGTGAAGGGTGGACAGAATGACAGGAAGCCTCACGGTAGACCGTAACAACACGACAAACTAGGACTGAATCAACACCGTTAGCACACCGTCAACCGTTAAACTGTGAAACATGTAGACTGGTTTACAGCATATCAATATAAAAAAAACGCAACACGTGATAGTTTCCTGCAATACCGATGATGTTGCCTATTAACCTGAGGTGGAATGAAGGCTGTGTCATATCCCAAGAACGGTTGGCGTACTCTTTTGTGCAAACTGAGCCCAAACGCTCTTTTTTTGCTAACATTTGAGTGATTATAGCAGCATACTTTTTAGCACTGATTTAGGCCACATTCATTCATAACACACACATTTACTGCTTACTTTTAAACCTATTTTTAACAACCTTTCACACACTTACAGGGAAATTCAGGGGATTCGAGGGAAATTTGGGGTTAAGTATCGTGCCCAAGGACACTTTGACACTTTGTGGAATAGAGCCAGTGTTCTTCCAGATGGTCGAGCTGCACAAACTCCTAAGATACATTCCTGCAGGTGAGCCCTACGTGCCAAATCATGTCATAGAATGGAGACTACTGTGAAAAAGTATTTGCCCTCTTTCTGATTTTTTTCTTGCATATTTGTCACACATGTTTCAGATCATCAAAACATTCAATATTATATACAGATAATTCACATGATTAACTGATTATCCACATTTTCTAAGAAACTAACTAAAATTTCATCAGCCACACCCAGCTCAGATTAATGTTAGACCTTTTGAATAAATAAATCACTTAAATATAACCTGTCTGACAAAATGAAGTGTACTATCAGATCAAAAAGCAACACATCATGCTGTGATGTAAAGAAACAGCCATCCATCAGTCTGGAAAAACATTGTAGAGCATTTTATAAGGCTTTGAGACTCCAGTGAACCACGATGAGAGCCATTATCCACAAATGGAGTAAACAGTGGGACAGTGGTGAACCGAGTTGCTGGCCGACCAAAATTACTCTAAGAGCGCATCAACAACTCACCCAGGAGGTCACAAAGGAATCTAAAGGAAACATCCAAAGAGCTGCAGGCCTCAGTTGTGAGTTCATGAGTCAACAATAAGAAAGAGAGTGGGCAAGAACGGCATCCATGAGTTCCAAGGCAAAAACCACTTTTGGGAAAATATTCAGTGGACTGAAAAGACAAAAGTCGAATCTTTTGGAAGGTTTGAGACCCGTTACATCTGGTGTAAAACTAACACAGCATTTTACAAACCAACAACAAACCGAGAACATATATAACTGCACAAACGTGTAACATAACTGATGCCTAGTTCTGAGTTTTATGTAATAAATAATGCAAAGGTCTTGGGCTGTTACAAACAGTCAAACATGGCGGAGGTAGTGTAATGGTCTGGGGCTGCTTTGCTTCTTCGGGACCTGGCGACTGGCTGTAATTGATGCAATCGCAAATTCTGATGTCTAACCATCAGTTTCAGATTCATTACCAGTTGCTGCATTACAGTTCTTGCAGTCAAGGGTGGCACAACAATTTATTAAGTTTAGAGGGCAGTTACTATGAACTGATCATTTAAAAACTGCATTATGTATTTACTTGTGTTTAATATCAAAATGTGTTAGACTAACATGTTCAGATCATCAAAGAAAGACACAAAAATAAGAGATTAAGAATCACAGCATTATACATGCTCTACAACTATCTGGGAACATGAAAGTCGTGCATTGCGAACAGTAGAGCCTCTTGGAGTCTGTTTTAAGACGATGCATGATGACTTTTTTCATCCAGATGTCATGTTGTCACATTTAGCTGAATACAGTTTGAGTGATAAACAAAAATAAGCTATTTCCAAAAACAGAAACATGATATTAACAGATTTTCTGTTTTCCCCCCTATTTGTTTTCAGTAATTAATTTACCCTGTGGTACACAGCAAGATAATCAAATCAGAGGAATTTCCATGTACTTTACATTGTGTCAGCTGGGATACTGAAGCGTCATTACTCAGATGTGAAGCTATCAACCAATGCTCCGCTCCTAGCATCATGTAGCAAATGCCTTTTTAAAAATATATATTAGTCTTACTGCTGTATTAGCAGCATTTTTAAATTAGACATCTCCTTTTGTGTGAATCTTTTTTGTGAATATTTC